TTTATTCGATATTATTGGTGAAGAAGCACTTGAAAAATTTAATACTTTAATTTAACTGAAGAAGATAAGATGTTGACAAAGTAATTGAAGCTTTCAAAAATTACTGCATACTGAAAGCAAATGAAAGTGTTGATAGACGTATATTTTTCTGTTGAATGCAGCATGCAGGTGAATCGTTTGATGACTTTTTAACAGAGTTAAAGAAATTAAGTAGAAACTTTTAATTTTAGTAAGTGGAATTTCAAATAAAAATCTTTAAAGATAGGCTGTTAAAGAAAGATCAGTTAAATGGAGAAATGTATTAAAATGTGTAAAGCTTCTGAATTAACAGAACTTCAGATGAAATCTTTAACCGAAAGAAATAAAATACAAGTGATAGAGCGGAATAAAATTTCCCCTTCAGAAGAAAAAATTAAATCACGAAAGAAAAAAATACTGTGTAAGATTAAAGCAACAAAGTATTAAATCACCTTCAATATATTATAATATAATTCATGGAAATATGTTCAATAATCAAAAACTATGTAGAAAATGTGGAACTTTTCACAAGTTATATAAACTGTTCTGCTTATAAGATTTGTTTATACTGTAAAAAGAAAAATCACTTTCCTAAAATGAGCACTAATAAAAATGTTAAATGTCGTACAGAATAATTTAGAGCACGAGTTACATTATAATGATAATGAATATATTTTGGGATTAGCAGAAGATAAAAATCAATTTTCTAAAAATAGAACAGAACGGTTTGAAAAACTGAAAGTAAACATATCAAAATATTTATTTGTCAAGTTGGATACTGATGCTCAATGTAATGTGTTACCATTGCTTAAATTAACTTTAAGAGAGAAATGCTCAACTGAATCAAAAGTCACTTTAAATAAATACGATGGTTCTAAAATTGATGTAGTTGGAAAATGTAAGTTCTTATGAGAAACATCTAAAGGTGATACAGATGAAGTAGAATTTCAAGTAGTTGCATGTGATAAAACTGTTCCAGCTATTTTAGGTTTACCTATATTACAAAAATTAAATGTAGTACAAAGGATTTGTATAGCAAACCCTGAATTTAATGAAAAGTCACCAGAATCATTAAATGGGTATCAAGATTTATTTAGAGGAATTGGGAATTTAATTGGCTATACCTGTAACATTAAATTAAAACCAGAAGCTATTGGTAAAATAGAGTCCTGTAAGAAAATTCCGCTTAGTTTATCAAATCTATTAAAAAAGGAACTGGCAAGAATGGAAAAAGATTATATTATAAAGTTAATTAACCTACATAATTTGTGAATTCATTAGCTGTAGTAAGAAAAAAAGATCATTAAGAGTGTGTTTAGATCCTGAGTACCTTAACTAAAATATACTGAGAAAAGATTATCACATACCGACCTTCGAAGAAATTTCACCTCAAATAACAAATGCGAAGATGTTTAGTATTTTAGATGCAAACAAAGCATTTTGGCAAATTAAACTGTCAGATTCAAATTGTGAATTAAAATTAACTTTTTGCGAAATTTTTAATTATACACAAAGAGTTCAAATATATATAGATGGCTTATTAGTTTCAGGAAAAGATTTTAAAAAAAAAACCCATGATTTGAGATTAAAGAAGGTGTTGGAAAGAGCCAGAGAAAAGAATGTTAAATTTAATTTAAATGTAATTTGGGCTAAATGAGGTTAAATATATATGGGACATATATTTTCTACAGATGGTTTAAAACTAGATAAAGACAAAATTAAGGGAAGTCTAGATATAAAACCACCAAAAAATGTCAAGGAATTAGGAATCTTCATAGGAATGATTGATTATATGCGTTTCTAGATTTATACCTAATGTATCAGAACTGACATCATGTTTAAGAGATTTGTTGAAAAAACAGGTTATCTGGAACTGGAATGCAGTACATGAAAAAGCATTTTAGAAGATTAAAAGATGTCTTAGTAAATAGTCAGCTTTACAGTATTATGATATAAACATGCCAGTAGTTTTATCTGTAAATGCATCTCAAGAAGGACTAGGAGCAGGCTTACTCCAAAATAAGCATATGCATCTAAGCATATGCCATCTAAGCACATGACCAGTAGCATATGCATCTAAGGCACTAACAGATACACAGAAGAATTATGCTCAAATTGAAAAAGAAATTTTAGCTATTTTATTTGCACGTGAGAAATTTCACCAGTATATATTTGGAAAATATTTTACAGTTGAATGTGACTATAAACTATTGGAATCAGTTTTCAAGAAGTCATTAATAAATGACCCGCAAGATTACAAAGAATGTGTGTAAGATTACAGCCATATCAGTTTGAGGTAAAATATAAACCAGAAAAAGAACTTTTTATAGCAGATGCCTCATCAAGCTCATTTACTGATAAAGGATGTGATTACTCCAAAGGAGACACAGAAGCCCATGTTGGGACTGGTTATAGAATGTATACCAGCATCTAAAAACAAAATGGAAATTTTACAGTTGGAAACAGAGAAAGATGAAGAACTACAAGTTTTAAGAAAATTAATTAAAACTGGATGGCGAGATGAAACGTATGGTTCGAGAACTGGAAAAAGCATATTTTAACTTCAGGGAACTATCAGAAGCATATGGATTAATATTTAAAAATTCCTGGGGCACATCGCAGCAAACCACCAACATCAAAGTTAAGAGCAGATATTCATGGCAAGAAGATTATGCTGTGCATTTGGTGGGATGGAAGCTGTGTGGTGTACATGAACTGCAGCAACTGTTGGTTGTTTAATGCTGAGAAGCACAATTATTCAATTTGAATCATGCACTTAAAGACAAATGCCCACAGTATGCTCACAGACATGACAAAGTAATTCTGCTTCATGAAAATGCCAAACCACAAGTTGGAAACCGAGTGAATGAAACCTTGAAGGGACTTCGATGTGATGTCTTACTCCACCTACCATATTCACCAGACCCCCATCCAGTTACCATTTGTTTCAGTCCATGCAGTATAGCATTTCTGAACAATACTTCACATCTTTTAATGATCTCAAAAACTGGCTTCATGAGTAAATTACCTCAAAAGAATCTGAATAGAATCCATTTGTTACTTCAAAAGTGGGCAAAGGTTGTAGTTGCTGAAGGACACTACGTACAGTAAATTAATTCATTCTATTAAAACAAACATGTTTTCTGTCCAAAAGAGAGCGAAAATTAATTCAAATACCCAATAACTTAAGACACAATAACACGCCGAATAAATATTAATTCAGAAGTCAAAACAACAAAAACAAGCGTTATTTACAAAATTTTCACAGAACTAGTTTCGATGGTTTTACCGAACCACCATCCTCAGCTGCAAAACCGCAAATGAACTAGATAGGAAATAATGATTAGATAAGATAAGAAAGCCTGGACAAGAATAAGCAAGTGGCGCCATCTGTTGGTGAAACCAGAACTAAAACATAATTTCTTTAAAGGCCGAAGGCAAAGTTGGATTGGAATTAGGATCGTTAACTAGAACAGAAAGATTTTTATGAATGTGAAATCCTCTAGAAAATCCAATTCTCCAATGGAAGATGTTTTTTGAATAATTTTGGCAGCAGAAAAATTGAAAGTGTGATTTTCGGACCAACAATGTTGAGCAACAGAAGACTTCTGTGTTTCCTTTTTTCTAACACATGCCTCATGTTCCTTGATGCAATAACTTATGTATATGTTGTATTTAATATGCTAAATTAGGAGCTTTTTGAAATTAATTCTATTTTAATTTGTAGACTACTATATTTTATGGCAGCACTGAAATACAGCCTTGTACAAAGGCACCTTGTACCCATGGGTTGACCCAGTTTCTATGCACCTTTAAATCAGACAAGACCAAATTATATTGCTTAGTAGGCTGAGGGTTACAGCATTTTCAACTTCCTATTAGGACATAATCTTATCATAAATTGCATTATGATTTATAAGGGTGGAATTTATTAAGGTATAGCACCAACTTATGTCAAGAAGTATTAAATTTTGTAGTTTAGTCTTAAATTTTCTGCTTTAGAATTATTTATTAGACTGTATTTTGCAAAATTCACAGATAATAGCAATATGCTGTATTACTGCATATTTTACATAATGCAAAATTTGAAATACATTAAAAAAATAACATAAAATATAAGATTCTGACTAGCTTTAATGGGGAAAAGTTGATTTACAGTCATGTTTAGGCTGTTGTATACCTGTTCAGAAGAAAAAAGCTTTCTGTCAGAACATGCTAACTTTTTCAAATCATTACAATCCAACACAGCTTTAGATGCTTTCAGGCTAATTCCTAAGAATACAAACCTAGCTTCCTTATACTTTCCTCCAGAACTTTATCTTTTTCTTAGGGTTTATTATAGGCTGCTTTTAATATTGTAATAACTAAATTAATTTCTTTTGTAATTCCCTTGCATTTTTCAATGACTAATGAATAAATTTCTTGGCATTTTACACCTTTCATATATTTTAGTCATTTATTTTTCAAAAAGAATTTCCTACATCTGACACCTTGAATTTTCTTGTTTAACAATACTCAAACAATCCAGTTAATCATCTTTAATTGTATAATGCTGTCCAGTATGTTCGGAACAAATGTTTTGGATAATAACTTCCAATTCAATTACAACTTAATTATATGAATAAAAATCTGTTTATAAAACATTTTAGAAAACTTTTTAAATACGTGTAATAAACTTTTGACATTTTTGTGTAGCGAATTTCTTACCAAAAACGTAATTTTTTAAGAAACTTCTTGATACCGTATTTCATTTTTCAACTAGTTTGAAAAATCAAAATAAACCAAAATTTTATTTAAAAAAATATGTAATGCAATTCTTGATTAATCATTATTCTTCTTAGTATTTGGAAAACTTACATTCAAAGTTTTATGATTGCAGTATCAAACAACATAACGGTACAGTCTTTCCATACATATATATATATACCTCATTTTATGCTACATTAACACCATACCAAAATACAACTTGAAATGCTTCTCACCTTACAAATTTAACATCTCTTGTGGTTACATCATTTCGCTGAATAATTTCGCCATTTGGCAACTGGTATCCCAGCTTCATTAGTACCGATACCTGTTAAATAATTTGATTTTCATGTACTTTTTTAATATGCAAAATATTTCATACTCAGAACTGGTTATAAAATTTGCATGAGTGTTTTTATAGTTCATCTGGAGACAATTTCTAGCTATATTCCACATGCATACAAAAACGTAAAAAACACGAAATTTAAACATTATTTTCCATACATATGTCCAGTGATCACTTTTCAATATAACAGAAGCTTCTGTGGCAAAGCAAGGTGTTGGCAGTAACAACAGCCAAGTCTTTATTATAAGTTATGCTGATTACGATTCTAGCTTTCAATTTAAACTTTGTCCTTGTCATAAAATCTGCATAAACCTCTGGATTGAGTAATTACATGATGAAACGAGATATAAAGAAAAAATTCAAGAATAAAATCTTAACTATTATTTAAACTTAAAAGTTACAATCTTAACCAAAAGTTACTGGAAATTTTTTGCACACTAAGCAACTTCGAATATTCTATGCACCAAGGATTGCATATAAAATTATATACATTCAGTCACAGAAATACAAAAATCTTTATCACTGAAACCAAAGGAGGACATATCAGTACTGTTCAGATTTTTCTATTTTTATTTGTACCTAAGTCCAAAAAGAGTCTTTTGAGATTATTTTGGAAGCTGCCACCCAGATGGTATAGTGGTTAGTGAAGCTGACTGCAATACCAAAGGGCCCGGGTTCGAGTCCCAGAGAAGGCATAGCTGTAACTGTCTGGCCCTTCATAGGAGGCAAAAGTGGCCCACCTACTAGGTGCCTACATAATAATGTGATCACCGCTTCTGCCTTTAGTAGTGGCCAACATCTATAACTACTTGTGCCCGCCATTGGGAGGAGGAGGAGAAAAAAACTGGGAGTTTGCATAACATAAAAAAGAAAAAACAGTGTGTGAATGAATTGTGCTACATATAGTGTGTAATATAAATGTGAGTAAAATAAATAATCTAAATGTGAGTAATATAAATAATCTAAATGTGAGTAATATAAATAATCTAAATGTGAGTAAATAGAAATATTACATTGAAAAATTAATAATGAAATTTCAAGAAATAAATGCATACTACTGCTAAAAAAAGTAACTTAATTAACTTTAGGATTGTTTATCCAATTATGTTACGTACTAAAGATTTAAAAATTTTTAATATTCAAATCACTGTGTTTATTAAACTACTACATTATTTCTACATAAAATTCATTTTAAAAAATGAAATTTATTTATTCAAACTTTCCTTAACAATTATTCAGAATACCAAATATTTTATTTCATACATACTCGTATATTAAGATCCTGCAAAAATGCAATAATGCAGTTATAGAGACATTCATAATCTTCATGAGGAATATCCTTGTAGTTCTGGGAATAAAATTTAGTACAACAGATTTCATTTAAGGCATGACTCATCAAATTTTAGATAACAAAATGTATACAACTTATCAAATAAAGCTTTTTCCAATCTAGAATATGGCACTAAAATATATTTAAACAATTATTAAACTTACTGAAACAAGCAAGGAATGAAGTTTTTCAGTTTTTTTCATCAGATCAGGATATATTTTAGCACATATTTTGATTTCATCAAAATGGTTCAACGTTACAAGAAGTATCTCTTCAGGACAATGACAATTAACAACTTGGTATTTGAAGACCATCAACATTAAATCATAGAGCTGTAATTAAAAATGCATTACACTAACAATAAAAGAAAATTTAGTATGAAATTGTGAAAGAATGAAAGGAACTATAGTGTAACTAAACACACATTATTTTTAACTCAAAGAATAGTTACCAAAGGTTTTCAAAAGTAATACAACTTAAAATACTGTGTTAAGCTAACAAGTGTTAATATCTTAAATGTGCAAAAGTGAAATTTTTTTCATTTTAAGGTGCTCATATCCCATGGCAATTTATTTCATTCACATACCTTGCCCATACTATTGCTATTTAGCCTCATAATTGATGAATGGACCAATTTCTCAAATACAAATTGCATTGCAGACCTGGAGTACATTTTTTGAGGTTTAAATAATTCAGCAATGAATTGATCATTCAGCATAGTACTTATAATATCTTGAATAACTAAAAGAAAATAATAATAATAAGCATTGATCTTTTTAATATTCTCAAAAACATAAATAATGAACACATAAAATTTTCTTTACATAAAATCTTACAAGTACCATAACTAACAAAAAGCATCTCATTTTAAAGAAAAACTATTATACACGATGTCAATGAGCTACAAATGCATATACTTAATAATGGGATGGCAATAAATGGGATTTCCTAAGTAACATGCAACATTTGTACTTTACACTGAAATGATAGATGAATTAACACACTTGTTTAATAGTACATATATGTTTCTTTTTGGCTTTGATCAATAAAGGATCTGCCTACAGTCTGAAAAGAGTGAACGTCAATATTTTTATTTATATTAATGTTACTGTATTTCCTTTGCAAGAACATGACAGATTTTAGGAGTAAGGGATACAACAACATTACATCCGAATTAAAACTTATTACCTAACACTTTTATTTTCTTTAAAATCTAATTTGGCACAAATAACACTTTCAACGAATATTAATAGAAGATATATAGAGCCTTTCATCTGGCTGACTAGGATATTTATTAAATTTAATCAATTTCAACTTCAATAACGACTGCTCATCATTACCACAAGTTAAGTTAGTAATGTTTTTGGCATTATAGGTTAGAAAATGATAAACTAACAGATACAATTAACTTGAAAAATTCTTTAAAATAAATATTGCTTTTATTTTTCCAACAATTATTTTTATAAGCACATATCTCACCACAGATTTTAATATTATTTATTTCTTTGTCACTAATAGATTTATTAAACAGCAAAAACTGTTTTCTGAATTTCAATCATCAATTTCTGATAAGGGTACTTACATATTAACGCAACCAGGCCAAAATTCGCATAAATTGCGAAATTTGGCAACCCTACGTGTTATACGTAGTTTTGTAAAAAGAGCATTTGGAGATTCACAAAATTTTCCTGCATTTTCGTGCAAATTTTTGTAATTTATGAGAAAATAGCAGTGCACATGGATAAAGTCAAGAGTGTGAGCAATGCCATTTTTGTGCAATTCTGGGATGTTTTTTTAAGTAAAAATAAGTCGACGTGTACATGGTTATGGCGAATACGGTTTTCAATCAGTGCTAAAAGCAATAGCCAAAAAATTTCCGCCGAAAAAATAATTCTGCAACTTATTCAAATTCGAAACCGGAAGGGTTTAATTGCTATTTTATATTTTAAAACAAAATAATATAAAAACTGTATTAAAAATTATCTGTAATTAATAAATGTACATTTTCTTTCTATTCATACATTTTATTCAAACTTACAAATAGCGCCAACCTGGTTGCGGTAATACGTAAGTACCCTGATAAGTAACAAAGTACACTGTGGGAAATTTATCACAGACACTAGCTGTGGACCATTTCTTTCATTTCCTATCACACATTAATACAAAACACAGATATTTATGACTACATTGTAAACAATTACATGTAACTCATCCATCTAAGAATGAAGCATAATAAGGGGGAACTAATAAAAACCATGGGCAGCACGCAAAAGCTGACCATGCCTCTTGTCCTGGAAGCCTATCCCCCTGCAAACATTTCTGCTCTTTATATTTTTAAGTTTAATGAAAAATGCATTAAATTACCAATAATAGTTTCTAAGAGCTTATATTTTTTCATACAACAAGCTTTGCTGCTAGGCATGAGATTTACTTTAAATTAAGCAAACTGCAGTGAAAACTGCCAATAAAAATACAGAACTACCATTTTTATAAAATATTTTCATCAAGACAGAATGCATAAATAAGATATAACAATAACATTTCAACTACAGTTTTCGTTTAGTTCAAACATAAGTTTACAGTAGTTACCAAAAACTACAATGGCATATTTCCTGGCTCTAGAATTTGCAGGAAAAGTCAGACACAATGAACAATTCCTGAGAGCAAAATATTCAAAAAAATCATAAACAGTTTTAGACATGTAAAAAGAAATTAAATTTCTACTTAAAACACAGAGGTTATTTCTGTGTAATGTTTTAACTTGTTGACACCAGTTTTATCTGACAGTTAAAATGAACTGATGTTGAAGAGAACACTTTTGTAGTTATTAAATGGCTAAGTTTCCTAATAGATGACACTGAAGGTCAATCTTCATTGCTGCTTTACTAGCGTAGTGACCTGATCACAGATTCTCTAGGACTGCAGCATTATGCCTCAATCAAGCTAAAAGTGGGCTTCATGGGTCAGCACTGAGGTATCTACGTCTTTCACAGCAGCAGAGATCATTGCAAAGTTCCCTCAAGTATGTTTCTTTAACATATATGATATCTGCAAGACAACAGACTATGACATGAGTGAGCTCGTAAGTGTAGTTGAAATTCTCAAATACTTTAGCATATTCAAATACTCGTAGCATGCATAATATTTAGCATACTCAAATACTCATAGCATGCATAATATTTAGCATACTCAAATACTCATAGCATGCATAATATTTAGCATACTCAAATACTCATAGCATGCAGTTGCTTACTTGCATGCTACAGGTTGAGAACAGAAAAGTTTAACACTTGCTCGCATCATCACTATGAAGCAGGGGTTAGTGCTGTGTGGCCTTGTTGGTCTAGTAGCACTATCTAGGGAGTTAGAATCGACTGCTATGGAAAATCCTCTTTAATCCAATGAATAGTGATATTAGCCAATAGATAGCAGCAGCAATTTATTACTATTTTGTTGATGTGGAGGCCCGATTTTAGGTTGCAATACGAAGCCTCCAGTGATCAAAACTAAAAATGCACTTCGAAGTCAAGCTTTGAAGTTTTGATGTCTATTTTTGAAGGCAACCAATATCGCTGCATACTTAGGAAAAAATGAGTTTATAATAATCCATTATTCTCATTTCTTACAGAGTATTATAATTTATATGTACCACAAAGACTCATGCATATGCGGCTCAACAGGTACTATCAATCACTATATGTTCGAGTGCGAAATCACCAGACACCTATATTTCTGGCCGTACAGCTGAAAATGCCTAAGTATGGCTGAAACAACTCCAAAAGAGTAAGCTACTATGAAATAAACTTAAAACTCTCATAGACTACCTGGCAATGAACTGCGAAAATCTAAAAGCAATCTAAAAAACATTCAGCACAGTCTCCTTTAACAATAGTCTTGACAGAGTCTCCTTAATAACCACAGGTCACAAATACCTATCTTCCAAAGCAACTTTATTAATTCAGCTACAAATTTATTAAATTTGAATATTCTATACAGATTTTTGGCTAGGCTTAGCGATAATAGAATGCTCTACCAATTGAGTACAAATGCTGATAGTCATATAACAGGCGGTACAGCAACTCAACTGGTGCTAAGTAGGTAAGTACTGTGCCTTCCTCAATATACAACAGCGTCAACTCCACAGTATACTATTATAATTATATTATACATAAATAGTACATACAAATACATGCTGTTATTTGTATGTAAGCTGGTTTTCATGTATTTTTGTGTTGTAATACATTATTTTTACTTATTTATATATTTATTTATTTAATTAGCATATTTTTAGAAAGCACTTTCACATTCACTTATTACATATTTTGTTTAATTTGAGACTTATGGTCATTTAGTCTATTTATATGCATTTATTTCAAGATTTATGCTGTAGCTACTTACATTCTGAGATGACTGATGTTTAAATTGTAAGGCTAGCTCAAACAGACACAGAAATATCGGCAGAAATCCTTCTTACAGACACTTACAATATTCTAGAAGTTTATAAAATGGACGTTTTTGAAGCCATAAGAGCAAATTTTTTTATTTCAACTTCTACAAATACTTACACTTCAATTACTCCTTGGGGTTGCATGCACTGGCTTAGTATTTTATTACGACAACAGCAGCCTTTGGGGAACAATAACACAGATCTGGTTTCTATGGCCAGGAGAGGCAGACTATGCCGTCTCGGATGGTTGTGGCTTAGACTATCTGAATGGGCAGTAGAAGGGCCAGATGAAAAGTTCTTTATGGACTCTGTGCATCCTGGAAAGGTAATCATGGATTGCCACTTCAGTGAGGGGTGCCAAAATAGAGATCAAAATTTAAAAAATCGGCTGCAGTGAAGTAGGATCCCATCGCGTGGAGTTTATGAGTATGCAACAAGGACTCACTTTTGGGAACTTTCTAACGATTTCCTTGCCTCCTGCCTGGTGTGTAGTCCGTCCACATACTGCCAGAATCAGAAATGGCGTAACACGTAACTTAAATAAGCTTACCGTTTCATTTCTCCCAGGGTGATTTAATGCACTGGCTAAGATTTGTACTTAAACAGTCTCAGCTCTGGGGGTATAATCAGAGCAGGTAGTGTTATGGTTCAGTCTATTCAGTTGTTGGTTCATATATCTCTTTCTATGCATAGTCAGTTGAAAAAGATCACCTCCCCTAAATTATGTAAAAGATCGGCAAAACTTCTGTTCAGAGTCTGGAACATTTTCAACGAACCTGCTCCTCCTCCGCCCTTATGTAGAATTAAACCAAAAGGGTTGTTTCCACCACTGCTTTAATTAGCAGGAGTGAGTAAATAAATCTGATTCATCCCCCTTCCCTTTACACATATTGGCTGCATTAGAACCTGCACTAAGTCACTTCAATCACAGTCAAGTGACTATTTTGGTACTGAGCGTCTCTCTCAGCAAGCAGTTTCAGTGATAAGTGATATTCCTCGCATCTTAAGGATAACTTTATTTTTCTTGCTGGGTCATTCATAGCTCTTTATTTTGCCTGTAAAAGCTATTATTTATTTCAAGTATCAAATCCTCCTTTTGATCTTGCCTAGTTATTTAAGGAGATCTCCGTAAACCCGCAGCGGGCAACAATATTAACTCCGATACAAGGGAGTATCTTATTATGTCGGTAAAACAAATGTAGCTTCAACAATCATTTTTAAGAAAAAAAAATTCCCACTGAAAATACATCTGGCAATAGTAAAGCTAAAATATGAGTCATCCATGCACAACTTA